GGAATTCTGTGGGATTTCAACCAGAATTCCCCAAAAAAAAATTCCCAAAAAATAAAAATCCGCGATGGGGAGGTTTGGGATTGTGTGGAATGGAGGGGTTGGAAAATCCGAGGGTTGGAGTCGTTGAGTCGGGAATTCTGTGGGAATTCTCTCGGAATTCCCAAAAAAAAATTCCCCAAAAATAAAAATCTGGGATGGAGAGGTTGGGATTGTGTGGGATGGAGGGGGTTGGAAAAATCCGAGGGTTTGAGTCGTTGAGTCGGGAATTCTGTGGGAATTCTTTGGGAATTCTTTGGGAATTCCGTGGGAATTCTGTGGGGGAATTCTCTCGGAATTCCCCCAAAAAATTCCCCCCCCAAAAAATATTTGGGATGGGGAGGTTGGGATTGTGAGGGACGGTGGAGTGGGAAAATCCGAGGGTTTGAGTTGTTGGGTCAGGAATTCTGTGGGATTTCAACCAGAATTCCCCCCAAAAAATTCCCAAGAAATAAAAATCCGCGATGGGGAGGTTTGGGATTGTGTGGGATGGAGGGGGTTGGAAAATCCAAGGGTTTGGGTAGGTGGGTCAGGAATTCTGTGGGAATTCCGTGGGATTTCTCCTGGAATTCCCAAAAAAATATTCCCAAAAAATAAAAATCCGGGTTTGGGGTGGATGGGGAGGTTTGGGATTGTGTGGAATGGAGGGGGTTGGAAAATCCGAGGGTTTGAGTCGTTGAGTCGGGAATTCTGTGGGAATTCTCTCGGAATTCCCAAAAAAAAATTCCCAAAAAATAAAAATCCGGGATGGAGAGGTTGGGATTGTGAGGGATGGAGGGGGTGGGAAAAGCCGAAGGTTTGAGTCGTTGGGTCAGGAATTCTGTGGGAATTCTTTGGGAATTCCATGGGAATTCTGTGGGAATTCTCTCGGAATTCCCCCCAAAAAATTCCCCCCCCAAAAAATATTTGGGATGGGGAGGTTGGGATCGTGAGGGACGGTGGAGTGGGAAAAGCCGAGGGTTTGAGTCGTTGGGTCAGGAATTCTGTGGGATTTCAACCAGAATTCCCCAAAAAAAATTCCCAAAAAATAAAAATCCGGGATGGGGAGGTTGGGATTGTGTGGGATGGAGGGGTTGGAAAAATCCGAGGGTTTGAGTCGTTGAGTCCGGAATTCTGTGGGAATTCTTTGGGAATTCCATGGGAATTCTGTGGGAATTCTTTGGGAATTCCGTGGGAATTCTGTGGGAATTCTCTCGGAATTCCCCCAAAAAATTCCCCCCCCAAAAAATATTTGGGATGGGGAGGTTGGGATTGTGAGGGACGGTGGAGTGGGAAAAGCCGAGGGTTTGAGTTGTTGAGTCGGGAATTCTGTGGGAATTCTTTGGGAATTCCGTGGGATTTCTCCCAGAATTCCCCCCCAAAAAAATCCCCAAAAAAATTCCCAGAAGCACCACCAGCTGCGGATCAAGATCCTGGGGGATTGCTATTACTGCATCTGCGGGCTGCCGGAATTCCGCGAGGATCACGCGGCCTGCTCCATCCGCATGGGACTCGCCATGGTGGACGCCATCGCGTACGGAAAGGGCCGGAAACGGCCCGGGAATGGTGCATGATGGGAATGATGGGGATGGTGGGAATGATGGGGATGATGGGAATGGGGATGATGGGGATGATGGGAATGATGGGAATGATGGGAATGATGGGGATGATGATGGGGATGATGATGGGAATGATGGGAATGATGGGAATGATGGGGATGATGATGGGGATGATGATGGGAATGATGAGGATGACGGTGGGAATGATGGGAATGATGGGAATGATGGGAATGATGGGGATGGTGATGGGAATGATGGGAATGATAATGGGAATGATGGGAATGATAATGGGAATGGAAGGATGGGGATGGGGATGGGAATGGGGATGGGAATAATGGGAATGATGATGGGAATGATGGGAATGACGGTGGGAATGATGGGAATAATGGGAATGATGGGGATGGTGATGAGAATGATGGGAATGGCCACGGGAATGGTGATGGGAATGGAATGATGGGAATGGGGATGGGAATGATGGGAATGGCCACGGGAATGGAATGATGGGGATGGGGATGAGAATGGGGATGGGAATAATGGGAATGATGATGGGAATAATGATGGGAATGATGATGGGAATGATGGGAATAAGAGTGGGAATTAAGGGAGGGGAATGATGGGAATGATGGGAATGATGGGAATGATGGGAATGATGGGAATAATGGGAATGATGGGAATAAGAGTGGGAATTATGGGATGGGAATGATGGGAATGGTGGGGATGGTGGGAATAAGGGTAGTAATG